ACTTAATTTAGGTGAGGTGCAAAATACCACAATATTGTGATGATAATGGAGCATATGTGGTGGTAACGGACTATGGTGAGGGAGATAGGACTGACTTCATATTGAGTCCACGTGCCTTTTCAAAATTGGGGCGCAATGCACTTACATCCCAAAAATTAAAGAAATACGGAGTATTGGATGTTGAATACAAAAGGGTTCCTTGTACATTTAAAGGCAACAATATTGTATACCAAATCAATGAAAATACCATAAACCCTGGCTACTTCGCCATCAATATTCTTTATGTTGGAGGAACATATGACGTCACTGCTGTTCAGATATGGAAGGTATAATACGAATTTAAAACTGCATCATGTATATAACATTTGTCCGTATGAGACTTAAAAATTTCTCTAACGATATTAATCGTGTGAATGATGCAGAAACAACAACACATATGGGAGGCCATGCGTAGATCTTATGGCGCTGTATTTGACTTTGCTAACCCACCCGAAGGTGAAATCCGATTGAAATTTCAAGTCAGTAGCAATGTTGGGTCCAACTGGGTGGTGTCACAGTTCACAATACCCGCGGGTTGGAAGGCTGGTGCTACTTATTCCACCAAAATTCACCCTTATTAATTTTTTGTACATAAAAACAGTTTAAAGTCCCATAAACTGTTGTTTGTTGTTGATGCTTTTCAAAATAGGGACTAAAATTATGGATTTTTGTGACTTTACTCCATGTGATACTAAATAATATTGGAGTAACAATCAATAAAATAATTAGTAGTACATTAGTACTCTATTAATACTTTTATATTTTAATTTCATTCTTAGACATGTGTTTATATTATTCTATTATACAGATAGAACCGATGTATACATAAATCTATTACTAATTACTTTAACTCTTGAGGGTAACCTAAAAGATAAGTACATATCTTGATTAATCAACTTAACTTACAATCCTTCATGCCTCTCATTATAAGAAAATTTGTAAACCCCGACTACTTTGCTATCATTATTCTTTATTATAGAACTATGTAATAACTAGTTGGAAAAGATTATAAAATTTTAAACTTCCCATATTTTAAGATGATCCTCTTAAATTTGTTGGTAAATTCGTCTTAGTGAAAAGAAAAATGTTCTGGACTGACCCGACAGTCAGAGTGGGTCTGGTCTAAACTCCTCCTACGACCACAGTCTGGATCTCCCCCGCCCTTCGTCGAGCACCATCAATTGTTTGTATTCCTAGACCGATACTGATATATGATGATTGACGAGTACCTCTCAGTCTGCCCAACCTCTAGTCGCCAAAACAACCAAGATCTGACCAGACTGCTGCCCGTAACCTACCTCCTCCTCGGACCTAACGGTTAATTATGGGCACACGTACCCGGTATGACCTAGTCTTGGAAGTTACCTATTTTTGCGGACCCGCATATCTAGGCCCAAAAATAGGAACCATTGGCCATGTGTCAGGGGAATTATATAAATCCTTACATATGTGAGGGCCAAGTATCGAATATCCACTATTCAACACAAAACCCTAATACTTTTCTTATATCTCTTTGTTCTCACACTTACTTGATCGTCGGAGTGCCTTGCACGTACAATCCCCTTTTTTCCTCCTCGATATTCCAGCCCGACAGAAGATCATCATCCAGCTACCCTGCAGGTTTTAATCAACCAGTAAGATCAGTGGCGTCGTCTGTGGAAACTATCTTCCCTATTTTCTGTTCCCCGAAATCTGAAGACCAAAGATCCTCTTCATTCAAAAATCATGGTTGACCGTGATGATCACCACCCATCATGGTTGACCCATCAAGAACATTCTCACCTCGAGGATAACCTCGGCTTCCGCGACGGTCGGACTTCGTCCCCAGATTCAGTCGACGCCCAGCACGACGACCATCAATTCTTAGATGAGCAGCATCCCAAGAACCCCATCGAGGAACTGTCAGAGATCCTGCATCCAATTCCCATTCCTCACAATGTCGACCCGGCCATTACAGCATTGCTTGCTACTATCAACCAGACTAACACCCTTATCCTACAGCAGAACAAAAAGATATTGGCCTGGGAGAAGAAGCATTCAAAGTCTCCTCCTCGGAGACCCCGACAACGAGATTCCCCTAGCATATCTCCATCAAGATATGGCCATCCACCAAGAAAGGAGAGGCACGCTGTTTCTTTAGGTCAATTTGTAGTAAGGTGATTGATCCTGAGATCTTACCAACATTGCAAAAAGAAATTGTTATTACTTTGTGTGAGCTTAAAATGTATTTTCCTCCCTCATTTTTGACATAATGGTACATCTAGTTGTTCATCTTGTGAAAGATACACAGTTGCGCGGACCAGCTTATATGAGATGGATGTACCCTGCCAAACGTTATATGAAAGTAATAAAAGGGTACGTGAAAAACCGAAGTCGTCCAGAGGGTTGTATTGTTGAGTGATACATTGTTGAAGAAGAAGTTGAGTTTTGTACTAAATATTTGTCCAAAGTTTAATCCACTAGACTCCCCAAAAGTCATATTTTTGAAAAACAGGAAGGTAAAAGATTAATTGGAAATAAAATTGTGACAGTATCAAAAGATGAACGGGATCAAGTGCATCTGTATGTTCTGCATAATGACAGTGATGTTGAGCCATATGTTGAAATGCACAAGGATGTACTCTGAGGGTTAAATCAGAATAGAAATGAAAATTGGATAGTACGGGAGCACAATCAAAGTTTTATACCATGGTTTAAGGATCATATTTTTTCAAAGCTTCGTTCAGACCCCGCTTCAATAATAGAGAGGTTGATATGTTTGGCATATGGTCCAAGTTTGCATGTGCTTTCTTATAGCGCATACCCAATTAATGGATACACATTTTATACAAAAGAACAAGATGATAAAAGTACTATGCAAAATAATGGTGTCACCGTGCTTGCTGAAGCAATGCACATTTCAAGTATGGAGGACCTAAACCCCAAATATGAAAATTTGTCATATTTTGGGGTTATCGAGCATATTTAGGTGTTTGATTACGAGAAGTTTCATATTTCTATCTTTGGTTGCAAGTGGGTAAGCAGTAGTGGCATACGAATGGATAAGTTAGGATTTTTGCAAGTGGATCTTAATAGGGAGGGGTACAAAGATGAGCCTATTATTCTAGCCTCTCAAGCTAAACAAGTGTTCTATGTCACTGACCCGACGAGTACAAAATGGTCTATAATGCTTTTATCTAACAAAGTGTTTGATGATAACGGTGTAGACCAAGGTGATATTGATGATGAGAATGAGTCATGTATTAGACGAAATGAGTCGTATATTATAAATGATCAAGATGAGAATATTATAGCGGATGAATCATATATCAGAAATGATCATAATGAGGGAATTTGGATAAATCCATCCATCCGCATTGTTAAGAAACAAGTAATTCATGTTCCAACCAAGAAAAGAAAGAGATGTTAGTGAAAGAGGTAGCATATTAAAATGTTTATGTTTATGTTTGTATTTATGTTTAAGTTTATGTTTATGTTAATTTTTGGTATTGTCATTTTATATATATTTAAATGACTATGGAATTTTATATTGGGTTTATGTTTATGTTTATTACAGGTTAGATGGCTACTAACGAGGATCACCCACGTGATAAGTCTGTGCATGACGAAGATAAGGCTATTAGTAAAAAGGAAATGGAATATAGACGAGGAATAACAATAATAAAGAGAATAATTTGGGATAGAGACCAAGGCATAAAGCATGATGTGCATTGGAGTCAAGAAGGCCAACTAATTGAGCCTAACAATTCAACGTTGACGAGTTATCTCGGTTCGGCGGTAAGGAGAGAAATTCCAATTACATGTGAAGATTGGAGAGCAAGAGTGTTGGATGGCGCTAAAGATAAAATATGGAGTGAGATACAGGTACCATATGTGATGTTATTTGTTTTTAATGACGACTATGTCTCTAAATTACTTATACTAATGCACTTTGTGTATGATTTTCGTAAAGGTCATTCATCATTGAGGATACCAGGAGAGATTATATTTTCTAATTGGCCGGGAAACTACATAAAGGGTTTAGATATTTCTTATCAAACAAGTTTCTTAGGGATGCGGATAAAAATTTTGTTGAAGCAGAGCTTCCATTACTACGCCAAAAATAAGCTTTAGCGGCACACATACGAAAGCGCTTTTAGGAAAAAGCGCTGCTGTAGGTATTAAAAAAAATTCGCTTAAAAAAAGCGCTTTCAAAGGGTACCTTAAGAAAGCGCTTTTCAAAAGCGCTGCTAAAGGTCACCCTTAGAAAGCGCTTTTTGAGAAGCGCTGCTAAAGGGTGCCTTTCAGAGGGAACCTAAGAAAGCACTTTTCAAAAGCGCTGCTAAAGGTCAGCCTTAGAAAGCGCTTTTCAAAAGCGCTGCTAAATCTGGCCTTTAGAAAGCGCTTTTAAAAGCGCTGCTATAGGGTATGCTACGAAAGCGCTTTTTTATGAAAAAGCGCTGTTATACATGACCATTAGAAAGCGCTTTTAAAAGCGCTTTCGTAGGTTGTTTTATAATAAATTTTATTGTTTTTGATTAAAGTTGTGTGTTCGTACTGTGGCTGTTGTGTTTCCTCCTCTCTTCCAACGTCCCAAACCCTTTCGTTCTTGTTCCTTCTTCGTCCAAAACGCTTTTTCACGGTAGCTCTTTCCGTTCAATCGCCACCATCGTCAACTCTCATCGCCGCCGCACGACTCGTCCCTCTCTTCACAAGGTTCGTACTGTGGTTTTCGTTTATTATTATTTTCTTCTCATTTACAGTGTATTGGTTGTTGTTGTTGTTTGATGATTTTTGAAAGTTTCCTAAAACCCTTTGATGATTTTCTAATGATGTTATTAATATGTTATTTCATTTTGAGTTAATCTTGAATGAATTAAACTAGGTGTTGATTTTGATTGTTCCTAATTTTGTTTTAAAACATGTTGGCTTTGAATTTGTGATGACATTGTGTGATTTGGTTTTGAATGACGAACTCGGTTATGGTATTGTTGTTTATCGTGTGCAAATGGAACACTTGTTTGAGATGAGTTTTATTGAGCATTATTAGGATTACATAGTTGTTTCCCGAAATTTGGTTCGGTTGATTTTAGCTTACTTTGAGCTTGATTTTTCATATCATGAACTTGAATTGGATAAGAGCTTGAATTTTTGGTTCCCGTTAGGTAATTATGTTTTAAAAGTTATTGAGCGTTTATTGAATAATCGGGCACGGAATATATTCTTGGAAGCCATAGTGACATACAAAATTCTTGTTTCATTGATTAGCAGGCACAGTTAGTGTTTCTCATTCACACTAGTTGGACGGCAGGTAATTGTGATTCCCGATTAAGGCTCTCTGTCTTTTGATGTTTGTTTAATGTGTTTTGGAAATTAATCGGTTTCTTTAACTTCTTCAGGACCTTCCGATTCAGAGCAACATATCTCACCGGAGAACTCAAACGTGTCAAATCGTCAGAAAATAAGAGAACCGTCAGGTGATTGTTTCTTCTTTTCAATCTATACAAAATATTTTATCCTTTTTGTTTATTACAAAATTTCGTATCAGAAAACATATCTTAGACTAAAATGAGGCCATGCCATATATAAGAAACAGATGAAGTTTGATATAGGGTAGCCCTTGAGTTTGATGAAACAAGGGTGTACTAGTATATAAGAAACGGACATGTAGAGGGTTGTGCTAATGATGTTGTGTTGTGTTAGTGAATGGTGGTGGAAATTATGATTCATTAACAAACGGGGTTACCCATTTCACATTACCATTCATTATTATGTATCTATATATCTATATCTATATGTATATTTAATTAGAGATAATGTAAAGTGATTAATTAACTTGTTAATGAGATGGATAAAGAAACAAAAACAACTTTTTAAGGTAACAGAATGCATGCTTATATAAAATTGTGAGAGTTAAGAATTGTGATTAGTGATGTAATCATAAAATGTGATTAGTTGATAGAATAAAATGAATTTAGTGAAAAGTATTGAGTATTGGTTTTGTTATATGGTTGTGCAAGAGAAAGTGCAAGTTTTGAGTATTGGTTTTGTTTTCTAACTTATCATTTAGCTCAGATTGACTCAGAAATCGTAAACCATGGATAAGACATGGATGTATTCCAATCGATTGTCGAAAGAGTACGAGAACAGGGTATCGGAATTCGTTAAGTTTGTTGTTGCGCACGCCGAAGACCCCGGTCGAATGACATGTCCTTGTTTGTGTTGCTGTTATGGGAATCGGGTTGACGCGGTTCAGTTGGCATCGCATCTAATACAGTATGGAATTGATAGAAGTTATACATGTTGGAATATGCATGGTGAGAAAAGTGACGGGAATGATGAATCGGGGGATAATAGGACCTATGCTTCAAACGACAATGGCACAGATACATACGATTATGATCGAGTTGAAGAGATTGCAGAAGCGCTTGAAGAAGATCTTAATGATTGTCCCAAAATGTTCGAGAGGTTGGTAAGCGATGCAGAGAAACCGTTGTATAATGGTTGTACAAAATTCACAAGATTGTCTGCGGTATTAAAGTTGTATAACTTAAAGGCGGGCAATGGATGGTCAGATAAAAGTTTCACAGAGTTATTAGCCCTTATGAAAAATATGCTACCAGAGGATAATGTTCTCCCCAATCGAACGTATGAGGCCAAAAAGATGTTGTACTCTATTGGCATGAGCTATGACAAGATACATGCTTGTCCAAAAGATTGTGTTTTGTTTCGAAACGAGTATGCATCGTTAAATGAGTGTCCTAAATGCGGTGCCCCTCGATATAAGAAAAAGTTGTCTCCGGCAAAAGTCTTATGGTATTTTCCTATAATTCCGAGATTTAGACGGATGTATCGTAGTGAAACCGATTCAAGACATTTAACTTGGCATGCAGATGAAAGAATTGTTGATGGAAAGTTTCGACATCCGACAGATTCACCACAGTGGATGAAAATTGATAATGATTATCCTGAATTTGGAAAAGACGCAAGAAACCTTCGCTTGGCATTGTCTACTGATGGAATGAACCCACACGGTATTCAAAGTATCTCGCATAGCACATGGCCTGTAATTCTTATGATTTATAACCTACCTCCGTGGCTATGTATGAAGCGTAAGTACATGATGTTATCTATGTTAATTTCTGGGCCTAAACAACCAGGAAATGACATAGACATATATTTGGAACCTTTAATCGAAGATTTGAAGATTTTGTGGGAGAACGGTGTGGAGGTTTATGATGGGTATAGGAAAGAAAGTTTCAACTTGAGGGCGATGTTGTTTGGAACAATTAACTATTTTCCAGCCTACGGAAATCTATCCGGGTATAGCATTAAAGGTGAAAAAGCGTGTCCTATCTGTGAAGATGGAACCGATACGATGCGATTGAAACTTTGTCAGAAGAATGTCTTTCTCGGTCATCGTAGATTCTTAAATTCTAAACATCAATATTGTGGATGGAGAAAAGCGTTCAACGGAGATACCGAACAACGTAGAGCTCCGCCTGGATTGACAGGTGATCAATTATTTGAAAAGGTGAAAGATGTGAGTATTCAGTTTGGCAAGCCTTTTGCACATAAAGTTGTTACAGGTGGGTGGAAGAAGAGGTCGATTTTTTTTGAATTGCCATATTGGAAATCTTTGTACGTAAGACATTTTCTTGATGTTATGCATATTGAAAAAAATGTATTTGACAGTGTTATTGGTACGTTACTCAATATAAAAGGGAAGTCTAAGGATGGTCTTAAAGTAAGGGAGGACATGGTAGAGATGGGAATAAGAACTGAATTGGGACCCGTGAAAAAAGGAACACGAACATATCTACCACCTGTTGTTTACACTCTATCCAGAAAGGAGAAAAAAATATTGTGTAAGTTCCTAAGTGAGGTTAAAGTTCCAGAAGGCTACTCATCAGATATTAGAAGACTTGTGTCTATGCAAGACCTCAAGTTAAAGAGTTTAAAGACGCATGATTGTCATGTTATAATGGAACATTTTCTACCGATAGGTATACGTTCTATTCTTCCAGAAAAAGTAAGAAGCGCAATAACTAAACTGTGTTTTTTCTTCAAGTCATTTTGTTGCAAGGTGATCGATCCTGAGATCTTACCAACATTGCAAAAAGAATGGAGGAGGATGTGGTGCATGTTATCAAGTATTATACTTTTCCTTCATTTTCAATTTCGAATAAATACTTGATCATGATATTAATGATGACACTTAATTTAGGTGAGGTGCAAAATACCAAAATATTGTGATGATAATGGAGCATATGTGGTGGTAACGGACTATGGTGAGGGAGATAGGACTGACTTCATATTGAGTCCACGTGCCTTTTCAAAATTGGGGCGCAATGCACTTACATCCCAAAAATTAAAGAAATACGGAGTATTGGATGTTGAATACAAAAGGGTTCCTTGTACATTTAAAGGCAACAATATTGTATACCAAATCAATGAAAATACCATAAACCCTGGCTACTTCGCCATCAATATTCTTTATGTTGGAGGAACATATGACGTCACTGCTGTTCAGATATGGAAGGTATAATACTTATATTATAAATTTAAGTTTTTTACGAATTTAAAACTGCATCATGTGTATAACATTTGTCCGTATGAGACTTAAAATTTTCTCTAATGATATTAATCGTGTGAATGATGCAGAAAGAACAACACATATGGGAGGCCATGCGTAGATCTTATGGTGCTGTATTTGACTTTGCTAACCCACCCGAAGGTGAAATCCGATTGAAATTTCAAGTCAGTAGCAATGTTGGGTCCAACTGGGTGGTGTCACAGTTCACAATACCCGCGGGTTGGAAGGCTGGTGCTACTTATTCCACCAAAATTCACCCTTATTAATTTTTTGTACATAAAAACAGTTTAAAGTCCCATAAACTGTTGTTTGTTGTTGATGCTTTTCAAAATAGGGACTAAAATTATGGATTTGTGTGACTTTACTCCATGTGATACTAAATAATATTGGAGTAACAATCAATAAAATAATTAGTAGTACATTAGTACTCTATTAATACCTTTATATTTTAATTTCATTCTTAGACATGTGTTTATATTATTCTATTATATAGATTGAACTTATGTATACATAAATTTATTACTAATTACTTTAACTCTTCACTATGCCAAACAAGCGCATAGACAGCGCTTTAAAGCGCTTCCTAAACTAGCGGTTCTATAAGAAAAGACAGCGCTTTGGATTAATGTAAAAGCGTTGTTATATGTCCCCTTTAACAGCGCTTTTACTTTAAGAGCGCTTTCTTATGAACACCTTTAGCAGTGCTTTTACTTCAGAGAGCGCTTTGGTAAGTACACCTTTAGCAGCGTTTTCTCATTTTAGACAGCACTTTAGACATCACTTCTTGCGTCTCTTTAGACAACGCTTTTCTTTAAAAGCGCTGTCTGTTCCCCACCTTAGGCAGCGCTTTCCCATTTTAGGTAGCGCTTTCTCCCTACTTTTGACAACGCTTTTCTTTAAAAGTGTTGTCTGTTCCCCACCTTAGGCAGCGCTTTCTCCCTACTTTAAACAACACTTTTCTCCTTAAGCGTTGTCTAATGTTAACAATTTTTTTAAAATTTTAGACATATTTTCTCGTTAAGCGCTGTCAAATATTTTATCTATTTTTTACACCAGGTTTTCACCATATTTTGCACCAAGTTTTCACCATATTTTACACCATATTTGATAGCTTAAATTCAATATATATGCTTCAATCCTAATAACTTTATATTTTAATTTCATTCTTAGACATGTGTTTATATTATTCTATTATATAGATAAAAATATATTAACTGATGTATACATAAATCTATTACTAATTACTTTAACTCTTGGTAACCTAAAAGATAAGTACATATCTTGATTAATCAAGTTAACTTACAATCCTTCATGCCTCCAATTATAAGAAAATTTGTAAACCCCGACTACTTTGCTATCATTATTCTTTATTGTAGAACTATGTAATAACTAGTTGGAAAAGATTATAAAATTTTAAACATCGCATATTTTAAGATGATCCTCTTAAATTTGTTGGTAAATTCGTCTTAATGAAAAGAAAAATGTTCTGGATTGGCCCGACAGTCAGAGTGGGCCCGGTCTAAACTCCTCCTACGACCACAGTCTGGATCTCCCCCGCCCTTCGTCGAGCACCATCAATCGTTTGTTTTCCTAGACCGACACTGATTTATGATGATTGACGAGCACCTCTCAGTCTGCCCAACCTCTAGTCACCAAAACAACCAAGAACCGACCAGACTGCTGCCCGTAACTTACCTCCTCCTCGGACCTAATGGTTAGTTATGGGCATACGTAGCCGGTATGACCTAGTCTTGGCAATTACCTATTTTTGCAGACCCGCATATCTAGTCCTAAAAATAGGAACCAATGGCCATGTGCCAGGGGAATTATATAAACCCTCACATATGTGAGGGCCAAGTATCGAATATCCACTATTCAACATAAAACTCTAATACTTTGCTTATATCTTTTTGTTCTCACACTTACTTGATCATCGGAGTTCCTTGCAGGTACAATCCCCTTTTTTTCCTCCTCGATATTCCAACCCGACAGAAGATCATCATCTAGCTACCCTGCAGGTTTTGAACAACCAGTAAGATCAGTGGCATCGTTTGTGGGAAAAATCTTCCCTATTTTTTGTTCCCTTAAATCTGATGACCAAAGATCCTCCTCATTCAACAATCATGGTTGACCGTGATGATCACCATCCATCATGGTTGACCCATCAAGAACATTCTCACCTCGAGGATAACCTCGGCTTCTACGACAATTGGACTGCGTCCCCAGATTCAGTCGATGCCTAGCACGACGACCATCAATTCTTGGATGAGCAGCATCCCAAGAAGCCCACCGAGGAACTGTCAGAGATCCTGGGCATCTCGGCCGCACTCCAGGCAAATAGATTGGAATTTTCCCTTAGTCAAGCTTTGAGTTGCCTTTTTGCCAGGTCAGGGAGGTCTGCTCCAATTTTCACTCCCCTGGTGGGGTCTTCTCCGAGAGGAACTAGCTTGAAGTCACCGTCCAGGACGGGCCATGCATGACTTGAGAGTTCATAGTGATCAGCAGAGGAAGTTGACTCTTTGTCTTCGAACATATGCTCATTCGCCTTCCTCCTTTGCTCGACACGATCTTCCACGGAGAAGTGACTGTTGAGGTCAATGGTGTCAACCCTCGGCAACGGCTTGACCTCCTTGGAACTGGAGGACAGTATGGCTCCAGTGGTCGTTCGAGGTTGGGTGCTGATGGAACTGAGGCCTTTGGAAGAAGCTTTGAAGCACCTTCTGGCAGATTGGATGTCCCCGTAGAGGGTGGAGACCAAGCCTTCGGTGGTGTAATACTTCATCTTGAGATGAACGGAAGAAGGGACTATGATAAGTTCGGCGAGAGTGGGTTTCCCGAAGATGCACTGGTAGAGAGACAGGAAATCTACCATCAAGAATTGGGTCTTGATGGATCTGGTTGTTACCCCTCTTTCGAATGTAATGATCAGCTTTACATATCCCCAGGGCTTCGTGTTGGCCTTGTTAAAACCCTAGAGATCAGATCCCACATAGAGGGTCAGGTGGCTCTCATTCAGCTGTAGGGTGGTGAACAGCTAGGCATACATAATGTCCACAGAACTTCCTTGGTCTACCAGAATGTGAAGTACGTCAAAGTTATCCATCCGAGCTCTCACGAGTAGTGGGGTGCTCGAATTCGGAGCCCCGCCCGGTAATTCTTCCTTGTAGAAGGCGAGGGGTTGATAGCCTCCTCAGAATTTATCGAGTGTGGCATCCATATCTGAGTTGGCTTCAATGAGTTGGTCGAACCTCCTCTTCACCGATCCAACTGTGTGTCTTTTGAACCCTCCACCGGAGATGACCATGGATGTGGGGAATGATTCCCAAGGACTATAGGAGGAGAAGTACAGGGGGGCATCCTCCATGTCTGGATAATAAAAGTCTTCCGACTGTGAGATGCTCATGGTGGACGGAATGGGGTCGAGGTTGGGGGATTTCTTACCTTCCTCGACATTCTTGGTTTCTGGTGCTTCGTCATGGGCACCCTCTTTCTTCTTGTACTGCTTGAGGTGCCCATCTCAGATCAGTATTTTGGTTGCATCCTTGAGGTGAATGCAATCCCCTGTGTTGTGACCATGACTCTTGTGGAACCTGCAATACTTGATCTTATCGGTTCCTAGCTTGGATGGTGTTTGTCGAGGGAAGCGCACCCCGTCTTGCTTGAATTTAGAATTAGCGCATTCAGAAATAATATGCTCCCTTGAGGTTGTCAGAGGGATGTAGTCATGGAAACGATCGGCTGGCCCCTTGTAGTCTTTGGGATCACAGGACTTGTCTTCCCATTTCTTCTCTCCCTGACGGGATGTCGAGGGTTCATCATTCTTTGAGGACTTGACACTCTCTCTGTGCCTAGATTCTGAGGCGCTTTTGGCCGCCTCGTTCAAACTGTATGTACGGCTAGGCCTTTAGGAGAAGGGAGTTAAGCATGGCTAGTTTCTTTATGCCCATAGCTTTTTCAAAGTCGTTGCGGAGATGGAGCCCACGCTCGATGAGGTACTTATTCATATTGTCCGTTGTTGGGACTTGGATCGCTTCCTTGTTGAAGCGTTCAATATATGCTTGCAGAGACTCGTCCCTGCCCTGTATGATCGCTTCGAGCGAAGCCTCTGATTTCGAGTGTCGACGGGAGGCGGTGAAATGCCTCGAAAATATCCTTATGAGTTGTTTCCATGAGGTGATGGATTCGTCAGGGAGGCTCTTGTACCATGCCATCTCCCCCTTCTTAAGAGTGGTTGGGAAGAGTCTGCATTTGATGGCTCCCCTGACTCCTTGGTAGTCGAGGAGAGCATCGATATTCTCGATGTGCTCGTCAGGGTCTGTTGTTCCGTTGTATGTTCACAAAGTAGGTGGCTTCTCTAGGCCGGCGGGAAGTGGAGCTTCAGTAATCTCCCTCGATAGAGGGCCATGGGGCTCATCATCCTTACTATCTGTGGGATATGGAGAGTGATAGTTTCTTCCCCGTCGATCGTCACGGTCCCGTCGAGGAGAGGGGCTCCTCCGCTTTTGTTTTGGCTCGAGGGAGGGCAGTCGAGCACGATCGATTTTCCTGTTGTCTTTCCTCTTCTTGAATGAAGGGGAGGCTTGATCTTTGACAGGAGGTGTGCGGTTGCGTTTCTTGAAGGAAGAAATGTTGTGCCTCTCCTTTCTGGGTTGTGGGCCACGCCGGGGTGGCGAAATACTGGGGGAGTTTCGTCGTCTGGTTCTCTGATGAGAAGATCTTGATCGCCTGTTCTCCCAGGACCCTATCCTTTGATTTTGTTGCAGGATGAGGGTGTTGGTTTGATTGATAGCAGCGAGTAGTGTGGCCATTGACGAGTCGGCTTTGAGAGGGATAGGAAGTGGTTGCATGACTTCTGGTAGTTCTTCGGCAGTATTCTTGGAGTGTCCCTTGTCCAAGAATTTGTCGTTGCCGTGTCAGGCATCAGTGGAATCTGGAGACGCGGTTTGTCTATCTTGGAAGCCCAAGTTTTCCTCGAGATGAGAATGTTCTTGACTTCCGTTAGTTTTGCAAGCAGGGGAAAGAATGTTCTTTCCAGACATGTGAAGATCATCATGATCGGCCATGATTAGTGAGAAGAATCTTGAAAAAGTTGCTTTGATCTTAGGTTTCGAGGAAAGAAATATGGGGATAGAAGATTCCCACAGACGGCTCCACTGATCTTACCGGTTGATCATAACCTGTAAAGTGGCCGGAAGATGATTTGTAGTCGATCTATGTAGTCGAGGAGAAAAAAGGGGGTTGTACCTGCAAGACACTCTAACGATCA